AACTAGAAGCCTTTCCTTTTCTTTCTAACAAATTTCTGCTCATCGTTTGTAAAAAATTCGGTACGAGTGATCGTCAGGGAGAGTTGATTTGTGTGAGTGCATTTGTTTTTTTTAATCATTACATTTTTTTTTTCTTTATCACTATATTCTTCTTTTTTTTTAATTACTACATTCTTTTTTTTGATAACTATCTACAATAACTGTCATGTTTTTATGTTTTGCATTCAATATCTTTTATTGTGCTTTTACAAGATTTCTCTTTTTTTAAAGAACAAACTATTCATGTCTTCTGATGAAGAAGATTCTGATTCACAATATTCAATTACTTTTGAGCATGATTGCCATGATGAATTGATAATCGATTACAAATTTGTAGAAGTTGCCAATGATAATAAACAAGAATTCAATAAACAAGACCATGTAAATATAGAGGTGAATATAGAAAATAGTAGCGAAAGTAGAAGAGGTAGAGGAAAGAGTAGAGGAAGAGATAGAGAAAGAGGTAGTACAAGGGGCAGGGGAAAAGAAACGACAATACGTAAAGAAAAGGGTAAAGATAATGAAGAGGCACAAATTAGTAATATCAATACCAATACAGCATTATCAGTATTAGAATGTTCTATATTTAATTCTATACAAAACCTTTATCCACTTCACAAGGGGTATGCAACACTTCCTCATGAATTTCAACTAAGAATCGTTACTCTGCTTTTACTTTTTCAGTTATTTTTTTCTACTAAACAATTGCAAACAATAGTTGAAAATACTAATGTATATAAATGAGTAAAGGGTGGGAAGAAGGTCATTCATGAAGTCCATTAACTTTAAGTAAGCTAAAAATTTGGCTTGGGTTGATTATTTACATGGGTGTTCATCAAATTAGTGCTGTCGAAGATTTATAGAATAGAGATGAAAAAAAAGCATCATATAAGATTAGATGATTTATGAATATAGTTAGATTTCAACAAATAAGAAATTTTTTTATATTTTGTCTCCTAGTGAATTGCATTCTTTTTGGTATTCTAAAGTGGAACCGTTGGCGATGCATATTTAAGAGGCAGTTAAGAGATTTTATATACCTAGTTCAAATATTTTCATTGATGAGATGATTGTATGCTTTTCCAGGCGAAGTGCCTATACAATAAGGATAAAAAATAAACTGACACCAGAAGAATACAAAATAATCTTATTTTGTGATTGTGAGTATATATTGGCATTTTTGTTTACTTCATGTGTTGAAAAAAATACATCTGTACAATTCATTTCTGGCCTTAGTAATATAGGTAGCATGGTTGCACATTTAGTTTATAATCTTTCTCATAATAAAATATACCATATGTATATGGATAACTACTTTTCCAGCATACTGCTTTTTAAATTTTTATGTGAAAGTGGAATTTGTGTCTATGGCACTGTTCATATGAATTCAACTAGGTTTTTCAAAGAGTTAAAACCTATTAAAGATTTGCCTTTAGACTGGAACATACTTTTAGACAAAGTGGTTAATAATGTTTTGGCTATTATCTGGATCGATAATGGTCTAATAACTATGTTGTCCACTATTCATGAAATTTCTGGTAATAATTCAAAAGTTATTCATAACCAGCAATGTCTATGTGAAACCAGCTCTAATGCAAATACTGTATATTGTGTTTTTGGAGATGCATATTGAAAAGAATTAGAAATTCTATAGATAATTGATGATTACAATCATTACATGGATGGTGTTGACATTGCTGATCACTTCATGGATACTACAACTGTCAACTAACAGTCAAACGAACATGGCTTCCTCTATTTTTCTGGATTTTAAATACTGTAATTGTAAACTGTGTACTTCTCTACCATAGGGTTACTAACTCAAATATCTCAAATAAAGAATTCAGAATTAATTTGGCTTGGGATTTAATTAAAGATACATTAAGTAATAGAAAGAAACAAAAACCTTTTCATGACAAAATATCTTCTCAAGCATCGTTAAAGGGAAAGCGCACTACCCATGTTACCAAAAAATTTGAATTACTATTAATTTAACTATTGGATGGAGATCATTTAGTCGAATAGAAAAAAAAAAAAAAGCTTGCATTTATTGTCATTATTTATTACTATATAGTGAAAAATCAATTAATTATAATAACCTACTACAAAGTCATCTGTGATACACTAAATGTAAAGTACCATTATGTTGTTCTAAATCAAGACCACATTGTTTTAAAGACTTTCATTTCAAAAGTCATGATGACTAAATCTTTAACCTGCAATTTCTCTTTTGTAAGCTGTCTATCTTCTGAATTATTGTTCGATATGCTTTATATCTAAAACTAAGTAATATGTAATTCTAAACTTAATGAATTTTTACTTTAAACCATTATTAAAAAAAAAAAAAAAATTAAACAAAAGCAAAAAAAATAAGCTAAATTGGTAACTAATAAATAAGAAAAGGCAAGTAAGACAAAAAAAAAAAAATAAGCTAAATTGGTAAACTAATAAATAAGAAAAGGCAAGTAAGACAAAAAAAAAAATAAAATAAATTAAATAAATAATGCTGATCTGAAATTTCAATATCCCGATTGTATTGCAAAAAATTAAAAATTGTAAATATGTTGTCATATTATGTCAAACTTTGAGTAAGTGTATGTGTATATATATTGTAACTAATAACTGCTAATTCAGGTAAATTTTTAAAGCATGCTAACTTGGCTCTAATTGTCATAAAAAAAAAATATGACAACTTAGATAACTACCTGTATCAGTGCAGTAAGGCCTCTAAGGCAAATAAGTCAGTAATTGTCGATAGAAAACAGCTAAATTAGAGGGTCATAAAAGTAGTTGAACAGGTTTGATAAAAGAAGGAACAAAAAGGAGGCCAATAAGGAAATGAAATAAGAAAAAGAGCTTTTTTTTGGAATGATAAATGTTCATATAAGCAAGAAAGATTTCTTCAGTACTACAGTATGTACATATATTACTAAACTGGTAAAATATGATGCCTATGACTTGCGCAGAACTTTGGTTATGATGTAAATATCAAAATTTGACAATACTGTTAATGGTTGGTGCAACTTAGTATAACAGTATAAACAGTGAAATTTTTCAGACAAATTTGCCTAAAAATGATCTACAGATTAAGGGATAATAGATAAATTATTTTATTTTATAATATTATAAAATTTTTTACTAATTAATTAAAAAATAAAAAAGTTTTATTAGTAATATATTTTGTAGTTACTATATAAAATTTTTTTTGCAACTAATTATATATAAAAATGATCTATATTGTATTCTACTCTTAAACTATCACTACAAAGCTGTAACTCTTTTTTAACTCCATTTCAATGTTCAATAATGCATGTATAGTATTTTAAAAAGATTTTTATAAAGTTTAATATATTAACTATATTATTTTTCTATAGTTTAGCTTTTTGAAAAGTTTGGTTCAAATAATTATTAGAAAGAGTAGTTTTTTGTATAGTTGTTTAGATATTTTTAGTAAGTAAAAGTTTAATTATTTTATATATATATATTTTTTTTAAATATTAAGATGAGTACTTGTAATCCAAGATTTTATTAATAGTATATTTGGCTAATAATTGCATTACAACTACAGGAGGCAATTATAGAAAAAATGTACAACTAGCCACTTGTACAACTTTAGTTATTGTCTAATTTAAATAGTCTATCTAAAGGTTCTATATTAGCTATTATATCTAAAACCTCCTTGTAAGTTCTCTATTTAAATACTCTAGTTTTCATATTCATCTATCTATTTTTGCCTATCAATGACCCTAGTTAATGCTAGTAAAAATATGCTATAGCTACTAAGTTTTTAAAACAGTTCACTCATATGAAAAATCTTTGATCTTGTACTAAACCTTTTAGAATTTTTTGTATTTTATTCTTATAGCTAACCTAATATTGCTATAGCTAAGTTTAATATTTGCAGTTAGAGTGTATCATTAAACCATTGTATTCTTGTAGAGTTCAGTACTAACTTCACAACATATTTCTACTAATTTGATATTTAATTCAAATTCTACCAAACTGCTATTTTAAATAGCTTAAAAAGGTAGACCATAATCATACCTTTGATTTACATATTCTTTAGCATATACTTTTTTCTTTTAAAATTCAGAAATTCTAATAGCCTGGTTGATTTATTTAGTCCTTTCCTAAAAACTAGCACATTTGCTTAGTTTTACAAGTTCTAGCTTTATTTTATAGATTTAGTCTTTATAGTAACACTGTTGAAGGTTCAGGTTACCTTTTTACTTAGATCTTCTAAGTAGGCTTCTGTTTTTCTATCTGGTTTTTGTGATTTATATAGTCTAAGAACTTATTATAAGTTCATACTGCCCAGTATCAGTTGTGTTTCTTTATACAACATTGTATAAGTGTCTAGATCTTTCAGTTATACTAATATGATATAGGTTATAGATATCTAATCCCAACTAATTACAAAAGATAATTAATTATAATACAGAAAGAATTCAAATTTTCACTATTACTGGAATTTGAACTCTAAATCTGCCACTTGAGGATTAATAATCTGACCACTTTACTAAGTTATCGCACTTCTAAAATTAGCTATATTTATAAAAAAAACTTATAATACAAAAATAATTGCTTAACTTTATAAAATAATATGCAAATTTAAAGGATCTACTTTTTATTTTATTTACCAAAAAGACATTTGGCTAATTGCTATCTTTTATTTAAACAAAATTTTTAAAATTCCTTCTATTTTCTCAGAAGTTTTTTCTTTTTTACCTTTTTTAGTATTCTTATTACTATTAAAATTTTCTGATATAAGTATGTCTAAACCTTTTTTAATTTATTTTAAAAATAATTTACTATTTTTAAAAATATTTTTTTATTTTATATTATTTTTTTTTTTAAAGTTATACTTTATAATAGTTATTTTATTAATATGTTAAGATTAGTATTACAATTATTTTTACAAAAATAAAAGTATAGCAAGTTACATGTACAACTTTTGGTTGTTTATTTAAGTAGTTCACCTAGAAATTTACACTAGATATTGTATTTATAATCTATTAAAAGATTATTTATTTAAATTTCTGATCATTTATTTTATTATATATCTAACTATTACTATATCTTCTATATATACTTAATTAATATATTATTTGAGCAATACAGTATCTTTATTTTTTAAACTAATTCTTAAACTATTATACAGTATATTGTAATAATAACTAGAATCAAATGACATGTGATTGATCACTTATGATCTAACAAATTTAAATTAGATTTTGATTACAAATATTTATACACAAACCAATCACAAGACATGCAGCTAATACTGAACACTTTTGTGACTACTATATTCTTAGGCCTAGATGTTTGTTTAACCATCCAAAAATATATCTAATTTACTGGAAAAAAACTAGTGCATAGCTATTTTGTATCTGTGGAATGAGGAAATATGTGATGCAAAGGAAATACACAAATGAACTAATACCCTCCTCTCTACAATTTATGAAAACATAAAAAAGCACAAAAAAACCAGAACCGTAGCCCATGCAAAAGGCAATGGCTAACTCAAGAAAATCATCAAACATGCCTCTTATGCACTTGCATGGTATATTCAAAGTAATCCTACAGTTACCACTAGAGCAATGGCCAATAAACTGGCTAAAATAAGTGTAAATATATCTCATAGCACTGTTTCAAGGCATTTAATTAGTGCTGGATATTCTAGTAGCATTTTACAAGCAACCTCTATGCTTACTGCAAAACATAAACTAGCACAAATAGAATGGACCAAAAAACATATAAATGATAATTGGAATTATACCTTTTTTACAAATGAAACTGCCTTTAGGCTTTTTCATAATATAAGAAAGCATTAGTATAAAGAAACCCAACTAGTTAGGAGAATTTCAAAGGATCGATCAAAAATCTTGGCCTGGAGTGGATTTTGGGTTGAAGGTAAAGCAAGTTTGTTTTGCTTTAAAAGGATAATAGATGCTAAATTTTATGTAAAAATAATTAGTAAATGTATTTTAAAAGTAAGAAAGATGCTTGGTACTAGGTGGCGGTAACAGCAGGACAATGATCCTAAGCATTAGAGTGGTTATGCTAAAGCCTTTCTTAAAGAAAATGTTCCTGTTCTTCTTGATTGGCTATCCAATAGCCCTGACCTTAATCCAATCGAAAATCTGTAAAGTATCATTAAAGGAAATGTTAAGAAGCATATGCCAAAAAATCTTGACAAGTTAGAATGTTTTATAATTCAAGAATGAAATAAAATTCCAATCTCATTTTTGAAGAATTTAGTTACTACAATGGAACAATGATGTAAGCTTGTAATTGAGCTAAATAGTGAACATATTTCTTATTAGAAGAGATTTTTTTTTTAATAAATAAACATCTAGTTGGGTACTATCAATGATATAAATTTTATGCAATTTGAATAAAATACTATGCCATTATCACGTGATATTTGATTCCAGTTATTTTTGCAACATACTTGTATATTTCAAAATATGACATTTGTCAGTAAGGTTTAAGAGGTCCTTCTTGTTAACTATCTATCTATTTTACAAACTATTAACAAAAACTTATTCTGTTAAAGTTTATCTATATTACAGTATCTATTTTATAGCATATCTTTAGTACTTTAGTATACTTCTGCTTTGTTTTTAGACTTTCAATTCAAATAGCTTAAAAGGATTATAATCTGTTTCTAATATATTGAGTTTGGTTTAATATTCTTTTTCTTTATTTGATCTAGCAGTTTGTTAGTAA